GCCCGCCCCGCCTTCCCTCCCCCCCCCCCTTCCCAGAGAACATGTCAGATCGCCTCTAAGCAGCCATGCCCAGGAAGGGCCCAGCCTCCATCTTCCAGCGGGGAGCAGCGTCACAATCCCTCGCTTCCCCATCCACCTTCTGCCACCGGCCACGGGTGTCTACGCGATGAGCCCTCGGTTCCATCCTCTCCCCCTCCCAGACACACACGTATACCTACCCCTTGGTAGTCCAGATGCACGGGGAAGGGAGGCGAGCTGTTCTCTACCCATATCTGTATCGGTGGTAACAGATAAGAGGATGACCGAACGCTCTTTTTTTTCCCGCCACCAGTACAGCTCTCCCACGTCATTGCATGCAACCTCCATCGGAACAGGATGGCTCCCCACCCCCACCCCCCGGTCTCTTACCCCTCTCCAGCCCCAGAGGCTCCGCAAGCGCTGCCATCTTCCCTCCCAAGCCCCGACTCTCGCGTCAAAGCGTGCAAAGAAGGGAGGAGGGACGAGAGCGTAAACGGATTTGCAACCTGACACACAGCCCAGCCCCCGGGGCTGCTGCCGCCGCCGCCGCGCGGATCTGCCTGCGCACGTGCGTTAGTCGCGCCTGAGCTGGGTCGACAGGGTGGAAAAAGGCCGGCCCAGCGCGCAGCCTAAAGGGGAGGGGGACGCGCGAGCGAGGAGCAGCCCAGATGCACCCCCAGTGAAGGGACCCCAACGGCTGCCTGGTCCCCTGCGCCCCTCTCCCCGGCCTTTAATCCATGCAAGCAGTGCAGCAAGAAGGAGAAGAGATTGGATTTATACCCTGCCCTTCACTACCCAAAGGTGTCTCAGAGCGGTTTACAAACTCCTTTCCCTTCCCCTCCCCACAACAGAGACCTTGTGAGGTAGGTGGGGCTGAGAGAGCTCTTGACAGAAACTGCTCCTTTTCAAGAACAGCTCTTATCAGAACTACGGCTTGCCCAAGGCCATCCAGCCAGGTGCAAGTGGAGGAGTGGGGAATCAAACCCGGTTCTCCCAGATTAGAGTCCGCACACTTAACCACTACACCAAATGGTCACATAAAAGAAAGGAAGGAAAGCAACTCCCTACCGGAAACAGTAAGGATTGAGAGCATCCTTTCCACTTGGTTGGAAGGTTTATAAGTATCTGTGAGAATTGACTCCCTCTAGTCAAGATTTGCCTCTGGAACACAGTGGTGACAGGCGGGGGGGGGGGGGGAATCTCAGGGCCCAGACCCCCGACTTCTAATTTTTTATTTGTGATGCTCCTTTGGGGGGGGCATGGGGGTGTCTGTGTGGGGTACCCCCGGACATTTAAAGGCCCCCTGGATTTAAAAAATCCTGGATACAGGCCTGAGTGGGGATCAGGCCCTACTGAAGGACAACTAAGTCTTGAGAGATTCCTAGGAAATTTATGTATTTTGCATCTGAACAGATCCAACTCCAGGCCACAAAATCTTAAACGGGAATGAACGTGTTAGTTTTTTAAAGGAGATCCTAGGCTGGTTTCCCCATAGGCCTTGTCAAGAAGCAAGTGTGCGGTTTGAGAAGGGTGAGAACTATCTGGTGCTTTCTCTCCTTCCCTGGCTTTCCCAAAAATGTACTCTACAAACAGCATATACATCTTTCCTTTTAAATATATAAGCTAATCTTTCTTAACCCTTCTAGGTATTAAGTGGGATATATAACCAACTTTCCCACCAGTGAAAGAGGGATCGCCATCAGCAATCAGACTCAGCTGGGGATTATGGAAACCTGCATGAACTAAAATTGTGCAAGCATGAAAATGTGACAAAAAGCTGGCTAACCTCAATATATTAAATAGTAAGAAAAAAAAGTTCTGGTAGGCAAGGAGCACAGATTAAACCCAGGGACAGATCTGATTCAGGGTAACTTGGAAAGCTTCTCAAACTTCAGAAAATTTAGCCTGATATTATAGTTGCTATTTATAATTTTCCATAGCATCTGGAATCATGACTGCATAACTGTGAAAGACCTCTTTAAAAAATCTTTAAAGAATGTTGGTTTGCCTTGCTTCTAGAGGGGAAAAAACAGTATCCGAAAACGGGGTGGACCTTCTGAAAACCTGTTCTCAGAGATGCAGTCCCTGCACCCATTTCTCATCCAGCTTGCCTTTGAGTGGGCGTTCTTACACCCATTACTTAAGTGCTCATCTCAGATTGGGGCCAGCCACTGCTTTGACTTACAAAGTCAAAAAATTCCTTGGGGAGCCAAAATATGACCAGTCCTCCTACTAAGGTAACATGCCTAAATACTTAGTAGGGAAAAAATGCAACTGGAATCCATAGAGCCCGCATGCACACAAACATGTTTAGGCTCATACTATAAGCCTAGCAAACAACACTGAAGATGTAGTATGCAGCACGTTCTGTAAAACAGAGGATGAGGTTTTGTTTACCAGCCATGGCATAAAGGGCTTGGAACAAAAGCAGCAAAATATTCCGTCTCCACCCTGAGGTGACTGCAGTTCTTGTTTTTAGGGTAAGCGGTACCAGGCACAAAGCAACTGCTTCCACTTCACCAGCTTCTTGCTTTGAAATCTTTCACTCCTGCAGTGGTTCCACCTCCACCCTTCCTATAGTCCAGGCTTCAGTTATAAAATGACAAAGCCTGGAGCTGTGAATCTGCAGAAGTGCAGAACAGAGTACTGGCTGAAGTATCCAGCTTCCCAAGAGCTACTCTGTTTCTAGGCATCATTCCTTGGAATGTATGCTTGGGTGATGCTTGCAAAACCCAGAGAAGCCAACACAGCTAGCTGAATAGTTGTGAGAAGCTTTAGGGCCACAAGCAGCTCTTTGCCCCTTCCCTGAACTTGTAAAAATCAGAAATCACGACAGTAAGCTACCACTATATGCAACAGAATACTTATTCTTTCATTTAACTCATACGTACCTGATCTTTTTGCCCAGTTACACCCACAGCCCTGACCATAGTTTTGTTTTCTAAAGATCCTTTCTCCTTGGTTCCATACTTTTGGCTTCTTGAGGCCTTGCTTACCCTTTTTTTTTCTCATCGTCCCGGAGCCATGACTTTGAAGACCGGCTTCTTATATTTTTAGCCCTAGGCCAGACTTCTTTCCCACCTTGTGCCCTTCAGACTCCTCTTAACAACTGCAATACATACAGTGAGGTTTTTGCCTTTCCAGCTGTCCCACCTTCAACACTGCTACCTTCCCCATTTCACAGTAACCAACCTAAAACCCTTTTTTTTCCTAGGAAAAGCCCCACCAAGTACAACCTTGGATTGCAACTAAGGATTTCTTTGTGGATCTGTGCACGCACGCGCACCCCAGCTGTGAGTTCCCTTCTCAGAAATACACAAACCACGGGGAGGAGAAACATTAATACCACTTTATTATTGTTTTAAAGAAAAATATCCAAATACACAAAGGACTGGTGGGAGATTACACATTAAGAGGAAATGAGCTGGGACAGGCGGAACTGAAACAGACTTACCCTTCTAAACAAAACCAGTTAAATCAGTTAATTCCCACTGGCTGGTGGAGCCTCGCTGGCTAGAGGCCGCCTGGGAAGCAAAGCCTCACCTGGCCCTGGACAGCATGGGAAAAGGAAGCGTCTCCGTTCATCATCACTCCATTGGGGGCTCCATCATGTATCCGTTCTCGGTGGACAAGTAGCCATCAGCCGACTGTATGGATTCTTGGTCCAGGAACATATCCTGGCTGGTCTCCTCCAGAGCCTCTCCCATGCCATTGTCCTGCCCTCTCTCCTCCCGCTTCTCCCCACCCCGCTCACCTCTTTCACGCTTGTGCTCACGATCACGGTCCCTATCTCTGTCCCTGTCACGCCGACGCTCTCTGTCCCGATCCCTGTCTCTGTCTTTGTCACGGTGACTGCGCCGCCGATCCCTCTCTCTGTCCCTGTCCCTGTCCCGATCCCTTTCTCTACCCTTCTCCTCCCCCCCTTCAGGCTTCACCTCCAGCCCATCTATGCCCAGCTCGCCAAGGGTGGCCTCCTCAGGCTGAGGATCAGCCACTTCGGGCAGCTCTTCCTTCTTGTCTCTGTCACGTTCCCGGTCCCTCTTCCGGTCCCGAGAACGGCTACGACGCTTTCGTTCCCGGTCTTTATCCTTGCTGCGTTCCCGGCTGCGTTTCCGTTCATCCTTCTCTCGGCTGCGTGTCCGCCGTCGGCGCTCCCGGGATCGGCTGCGACGGCGTTCCCGCTCTTTGTCCCGATCTCGGCTGCGGTCTCGGCGATCACGCTCTCGTTCACGGTCCCGATCCCTGTAATCCGGAAAGAGAGAAACTGAAACAAATTTTGCAAAAAGGTGGTGTGGATCTTGCCCACCCCAGCTCTGCTGCTACATGGTTTAAGACCAAACTAGTAAACACAGATGGGTATCTACTCACAGACTCTGTTTTACGAACTAGCTTTACTATCAGGACTTCCCCCAGGAAACTCAGGATTCTAGTTCTGCGTACGGTTAGAAATCTTTCAATCCCTGACACACCTGCAAAAATCATCACTTCCAAAGTTCCCTGGAGTTAAACTAGTTTAGCTTCAGTTTAAGATTGTAACAGAACTGTGAAGTGAATGTCATCTACAGAACAGCACAGATCAGTTTAGGACAGACAAAACAGTATCAGCCACTATGGTCAGGCTGCACTGCATAGAGTCTGGATTTGTAGTAAAGAAAAATAGTAACTTTCCTTAGAATCCAGAGGTTTCAACGAAAGACACAAAGACAGGAAGTAGGAAACAGGAGGACATGAACCTACAGCAAAGCCTACCCCCCAAAATCATACCTCTTGCTAACGTGAGTCTAAACCCATTTTTTTAAACTATCAGGATAACACACACAAATGTGTTTCAAGTCATTCAACTATCACAGTTCAGACCGTATTGTGTGCATTTTTGACAGGAGCAACAAGAGGTTCTGCTGTAAATGAGAAACCTTAAATTTTAAATGCCAGGAAATCTACTTAGACCACAAGCTTTCTGTAGACTGTAGCCCACAGCTGGAGTTAAGTAAAATTTTGAACAAGCAATTCTCCATAGTTCTCCTGCTGCTTCCAGTGGCAGAACTGCAACTGCTTCAGTGCTAAAAAAGCACAGAGGCAGAGATACCACCTCAATCTATTTGTCTCTGCTCCGCTAATACTACAGCCAAACTTACCGCTCATCGTATCGGGAGGTGTCATCCCGGCCTGAGTGCCTGATGTTGACATCAGCACCACCCCGCCGAGTCCCACCAAGACCGCCACCTGCAAAAGGGGGGAAAGGAAACATCAACCCTAGCTAGTTGTGTGCTGTT